TGCAGGGCGAGATAGCTCGGTTGGTTCTCCTTTGATGCGTGTTGAAGGCTCTTACATAATCAAGGCAGCATCTTGGCCCTGCCTCCCAACTGCCTTCTCAAACTTGGAACAAGGCCACGGAAAAGCCAGGAGAGACCAGGAGCAGAGTTGGTCCTTCTCCTCCCTCCCTCTCTGGCTGTTCTACAAGCAGTCCTAGAGTTGGAAGCAGCAAAGCGAAGGACGCCGAGCCCGGCAGCCAATAGGGAGCTGAGTGTGCTGTTCTCATGGTTACAACATCCCTGAAGGTACCCAAAGCAAGACTGTTCCCAGAGGTGGACCATGCACGTAACAATGCTTGCCTTTCTCAGTCCTGTGGCTGAGCAAGTTAAATGGTCGCTATCTTGGATTAGGAGATTGTCTTAAGATCTTTTGGTCTCACAAACTTGGGTGGACTTCTTCCTCATCTCGGTGGGCTGCTTGTCAGTTCCAAATCCACAATGAAGGGTCCTTGGTGCTCTCTGAGCTTGGTTGTTTTCTTGCAAATGTTTCATTTCAACCTAGGTAACATCATCACTGCTAGCATGAATGAAACATCTGCAAGAAAACAACCAAGCTCAAGAAGCACTAAGGACCCCACAGTTCAGTTCTGAGCTACAAATATTTTCCTCGACTTACAAAAATTTGTTTAGTGACCGTTCAAAGTTACAAGGGCACTAAAAAAAAGTGACTTATGACCGTTTTTCACAGTTACGACCTTTGCAGCATCCTTATGATCACGTGATCAACATTCACATGCTTAGCCATTGGTTCATATTTATGATGGTTGCAGAGTCTCGGGGTCATGTGATCCCCTTTTGAGACCTTCTCACAAGCAAAGTCAATGGGGAAGCCAGATTTATTTAACAACCAGGTTACTAACTTATCAAATGCAATGATTCACTTAATAACTGTGGCCAGAAAAGTTGCAAAATGGGGCAAAACTCACTTAAAAATGTCTCACTTAACAACAGAAATGTTGGACTCAACAATTGAGTCCATCTGTATTGGTACTCGACTCCCGACTTACCAGCTACTGGGCCAGCTATTTTTCACTCAGCTCAATCTTGTTCCCAGGGCATAAAATGAAGTGTAAGCTGATTCAAGCTTTCTAAGAAAACAGATATGCAATAAGGAAATTTGTTAGAAATTCTGTATATATATTTGCACCACAGATCAAACAAAGAGTACAGTCACCATGTGCTTTACTGCTCAACTGTTTTAATTGTAACAGGAAATGGGAAGCTCTACTTAGGGCAAAAGAATATAGAGTGTATACCATAGATTCATACTTGTAAACACTGCCATCTACTGGCTGAATACCACTGTAGTTGTTGCACCAAAATACATCCCATCAAGGAATTCCAACAGAATTAATATGACTCTCCCATTCCCTCAGTTTTACCTTCAATTGCCGCTGACAACATCTCAGTTCTTCCATGTGAGGATTTGATTTGGACAAATAACCTTTCAGCTTATGCACTGTTTGTTATTAATGTTTTTATTTTTAAAATATTTTTAACGCTTCCCCCCCCTTTTTTTTCAAAAGTTTTTATTTTTAAAAAGACAAAAAAAAAGGATCAGCGTTTGGGTAGCATCATCACTTGTCTCCTGCAATATTGTCATTTCCAATATTAAACATAAAAAAAAAATCACGTAAACAGCATATAAAATTAGAACAATAATCTTTGCTGACTCCCAATTGAAGTCTTTGCCCTTTGGAAGGACTCACTGCTCTCGCTATTTCCACTCCCTGAAATTGCTGATGCTTTTTGAGAAAAAGAGATAAGCAGCGCAATCAACACAATCGTAAAGCGCCATCAAACTATCCTTCCGTGCAGGCTTAACATGGTCTTCGACATACAGGTGGTCCTCGACTTACGGCCACAATTGAGCCTAAAATTTCTGTGCTTAAGCGAGACATTTGTTAAGTGACTTTCGCCCCATTTTGTGACCTTTCCTGCCACGGTTCTTAAGTGAATCACTGCAGTTGTTAAGTTAGTAACAAGGTTGTAAAGTGAAACTGGCTTCCCCATTGACTTTGCTTGTCAGAAGATCGCAAAAGGGGATCACGTGACCCCGGGATGCTGCGACCGTCGTAAAGGTGAGTCAGTTGCCAAGCATCTGAATTTTGATCACGTGACTCCGGGGAGGCTGCAACAGTCGTGTGAAAAACGGTCATAAGTCCCTTTTTTTCAGTGCCGTTGTAACTTTGAACGGTCACTAAACGAACTGGTGTAAGTCTGTACTAACAAATTGACTCTGCCTTTATGGATGAGTTACACAGATGGCCACATGCCTCCTTTTAACCTAGCAGCTTTATTTTATCTTTCTCAGTGCCTCTTTCATTTGCATTAAAAGGCTTTTTTATTATTATTTCCCTGAAATAACGTCATTAAAAGGCTTCCGTGAGAAAGACCATTTGTGCAGGCTTGGAAATGGATTCGAAGAGAAAGCAGGCTGACTGTAAAAAGGAAGAGATGGGCCACCCACTATCCTGCAAAAAAAATAAAAAATACAAAAATGATCAAACAAGATCATTACGACACAAAAATACACAAATAAAATCAAAATCTGCCGCCAATGGGAAAGCCGTAATCAATCTTAATTACAAAATTGACTGAGTATGTGCCATCGAGTTGATGTTGAATCTTAGCAAATGCATAGATGGATTTTCAGCAGGATGATCTGTTCCAGATCTGCTTCTTCAGCTCTTCCAACACTGCAACTGTCCATTCGAAGTTAACAACGGCACTGAAAAAAAGGGACTTAGTACCGTTTTTCAGACTTAACGGCCCTGGCAGAATCAAGGAGAGAAGCAACCTAGAACTAAGGAGAAACTTCCTGACAGTTAGAACAATTAACCAGTGGAACAACCTGCCTCCTGAAGCGGTGAATGCTCCAACACTGGAAGTTTTTAAGAAGAGACTGGACAGCCATTTGTCCGAAATGGTATAGGGTTTCCTGCCTGAGCAGGGGGTTGGACTAGATGACCTCCAAGGTCCCTTCCAACTTTATTATTATTGTTATTATTGATCATCACACAGTCAGCCAGATGTTCAGACTGGATTTGGCATTTTTGCTCTTCCTGCCTTAAGTTCAGAATGTTGCTAAAATTCTGCCTGTCCTCTGAGACTTCGGTTAGGGTGGGTGTAGATTTTATTTAAAACATTTTTTGTCTCTGATGCCTCTCTTTTCTTCCAATATGTATAATTTGTGTTCTTAATTGCTCCTGCTTCTTTGCTTTTAAAGTTGCAAGCTGGCCACAATCTTTTTGCCTCCCTGATTTTATGGTTTCAATTAGGTAAAACAAGAACAAAAAAAAAAGCAAAACAATGAAACGGGAACCCAAAGATGATTTTTCACGAGGCAACTGATTTGAAGACGTTTCGTTTCTCATCCAAGAAGCTTCTTCATGAATGAATGAATGAATGAATGAATGAATAAGATTCTTGGATGAGAAGCGAAACGCCTTCAAAGGAAAAACAAGAAAGTCCAGTTGCCTCGTGAAAAAGCATTTTTGGGACAGCCATGGCCTGCATGACTGAGAATCTCCACAGACATTTAATGAAAAGGGAAAGCAAGTCATATTATAAATGAAAATACCCTTAGACTAGAGTGAAGTTTGAAGAAAAAAATAGGAGGACTGTTAAAAAAATATCAAAAATAATAAACAACACCCCCCCACACACACAAAAGAAAATAGAAAAAAGGAAGATATTATAGTGGCTCTCCTCTCTTTCTCTTAGCCGCCAAGAATTTTATGTGGAGTCTGAGGGCCTCTAATTTGTATAAATAAATACATTGTTTATCTTGCTTCTTTTACATGTGTTTTTAATTAACTGCACTTTTTATTGTACAGCGGCAGTAAGTTATGTCTTTCTATTTGTCCTAATAAGATCAGTAAAAAAAAATGACTTCAGTTTTTCACATCGTGGAAGGCTTATTGAAATGCTTTTTTCCTAAAGGGAGAAGGAGGAGGAGGAGGAGGAGGAGGGAGGAGGAGGAGGAGGAGGAGGAGGAGGAGGAGGACTGTGGACTCCTTGGTGGTCTCTGAGTTGGTGGTTTTCTTGCAGATGTTTCATTACCAAACTAGGTTATCAGTGCTAGAAGAGAATGGGGTTTGTAGAGAGGAGGAATATATGACGCTATAAAGAAAAGAAATTAATATATATGCTCAGAGTTGCTGAGGATAGATGAGTAGTGCATATAAAGACTTAGAATTGGGCTGTTTTTATGACACATGTCATGCTGTTGACTGCCACAACCTCCCTTTTTGTGTAACGTTCAGCAGCATCAGAGGTGAAGTTCCTTTGTTTACCCTTCGTCCCTTTGAAGTTAGCATCTCCCACTGAAAACTTTGAAGTTTTTCAACCCAGTACTAAAACCAGTTCAATTGGAGTACATTACTCAGGGCAAGACCTCACTCGTGGGATCCTTGCCCAGCTTGAAACAAACACAGAGTTCCTCCCACTTGATTCTTGCTTTGCTCATCAATTGCATTTTACTCTCCAACGCCCACATTTGTACACTGTTGACGTTACCTCCACCCGCTTCAGACTCCAAAAACATGACTTGTATGGTATAAACACCACTGGGCCAGGGAAAAGCTGGACCATCTCTAGTCCCTCCCAGGACTGCAACATTCTGGATGATTCCTAGATATTTGGTGGCTTCCTTGCTGCACTTTTCATAGATTTCATGGTTTACCACCCCAGACCTGCAAATCTGGGCTCCACCCAGAGACAACTGGAGTGTAAACTAAACAATAGAACTGGTTTAGTTGCTTCGCCTGTTTTGTTTTGGAAAAGCAGCATAAAAGCACAGACACTCCAGAAAGAAATAGATCACTTTCCGACGCTGAAATGTGAACTTTGCATCTCTGTCACATGCTATTTGCTTTATTGGAGAGAAAACAGAAAGAGAGGCATAGATAATCTGGTTGTTTGGACTGTCCTGGACTGCTCTTCCGCCTTTCCGACGTTGGCAAGGTTGGACTCTCACCTGGTTGATGGACTAACCTCTTCCTGAGATTACTCTCTTGGGAACATCACCGGTCTGAGGAAGGACATGGCCTCTGTTTCTTCCCTCCTACGAGCCTGGATTTTGCTCTCCCTTCATGGTATGTATGATGGTTTGATGGACACTCTTTCCTGAAACTGCGAAACCGAGAGAAAGAATGTTCTCATTTGTGTTACTCTCCACACCCGTTCTCATGACCTCAGTGGTATGGTGAGTACAGCAAAACTGGAAGGACTCATCTAGGGTTGACTTGATCGACAACATAGCAACTAACAGTAAGATTTCTTTGCTGGGCACCTGCTGCGCATTGCATGGGGCGCTTTTTCGTCACTTTCATCCCCTTTTCTTAGGATCTTCTGCAGGATCTCCTGATCTAGGGACCATGGGAAAAGTCTTGCTTAGGTTCACTCCAAAGGACAAAGCAGAAAGACATGGGGTTTTGGGAAATGTGGTTCCCTTATCTGCAATATGAACGTACTGTTAATATGAAACCAATCATAGCTAATCAGAATCCTCCGGGACAACGAGACTGATAGGGCTATTTTATCCCATTTTGAAGTGGAGGAATACAAATTATCTCTTAATGATATTAAGTCCAGAGTCCAAACTAATTAAGGCTGGAGGAAGTCCAACGTTTTGCTAATCTTTGCATATAGTTCTGGCAGGGCCAGCCCTATCATTAGATGAGATTTAACGGCTAGTTACAGTACCGATACAGTACATTGCCAGAAAACTGGGGCGTATTTGATGCATTAACATAGTATTTGCCACTGCCAAGAAAGGAAACGTGAGCGAAACATTGATGGAATGTTTTGTCTTGACTGCTACAATAAGGCGACCAGCCTTGACCACTGTATATCTTGAGGGTGGAGTAGTATCCTAATTTGTTTTGAAAACTTTTCTAATGTTTCTAATGCTGCTAAAACGTTTCGCCATATTAAGGTGTGTTAGTCTTCAGATTGCAATTGACTCAATAACTTGCTAAGGAGCAACGATGTTCAAATGTTGCGGTAGCAAACAAGGTCAGATCAAAAGAGAGCAACGTATGTTCCAACACACTGAATAACATGAAACGTGCAAAATGTACATTTACTGCGACTCTTTTTTTACTGAATTGGATGTTCCTAGTCCTTTTCTTTACAGCAGGTCTTGCAGTCAGGATCAAAATTGGGTTTGATCAGAGCTCCAGATTCTAAGAGGGCATCAAGAAAGTTAGGAACCTATTAGATTTGGAGGTGAGAATAGCAGCGGTAAGAATGACATCCAAGCAACGTCCCTTCCACATTGCCAAGTGAAATCGCTATCATCACTTCTTGTGATGGCTGAAAACTATATCTTTGCTCTCTTGATTGCATCTGTATCTCTTTTTTTTTTTTTTGCTGTTCTAAGCTCAGCAATGAATTGGGGTGTCTGGATTTTAGGTCTGCAGGGCATATTAAGCAAAATGCTGGCTGGGGAATTCCAGGAGTTGAAGTCCATACATTTTAGAGCTGCTGAGTTTTAGAAACACTGTGCCAGAGTCTCCTCATGACAAAAAAAAATCTCCCCCTAAACTGACCAGAGGCTTTGAGTAATACTGGGCAGGTGGATTCAATGCCCTGCTGATTTTCCACAATGCTTTGATGAAGCTCCATCCTAGGGCATTGTGGGAAATTAAAATGGTGCCAGTTTTATCTGTCTTATCTTAAGGATGTACCTTCTCAAACTTCATTGATGACATGAGGGTGGCTCAGAACGTGAGTGTCTCTTATTGTCCCCAGAAAAACCTGAAGGGTGTGTCCTCAGAGGAGACAATCTGCTGGAGGACACTTGGCCCTTTCCATCCAGGAACTGGACCTGGGTCTGGTCCTTTTATTTACAGAGATGCAAGGGGAAACGTGTGGGCAGTCTCCCCATTCAAAGTCTTGACAAATGGGAATAATGAAAAAGACATGGTTGCAAGGCTGGATGGCTATTTGACCGCTCAAGCCATCCAAAGAAAGCTTGCTTGAATAAGAGGTTTCTTCTTCCACCCTAGGCTGTGTCACAAGTTATCCTAAGCAAGCAGACTCCGCGGCAGAAGACATAAGAAACTGTACCATTAATCCACCGGTGAGTTCCTGAATTTTACTCAAAATGTTTGTTCTACTAATACGTTAGAACGGCTTCTCTAAAACATAAGGTTTAGACAGCTTCTGATGCCCGAGCAAAGCCCCACCCTTCCTGGTTGGAAGAGGCACCCCAGCCCCACTTTCATAGCTCCCAGTTCCTCCCAGGATGATGCCAAAGAAATTCCGGGGCAAAAATCCCCATTTTCAGCCACGTCTCTCCATGTCTTCGTCTTTACAGTTTAGATAGTAAAAAGTTGTGTTAGACTGGTTATCAAAGGCTTACACATCTATTTTCTATAAATCAAGGGCGTCCACAGACAGAGGGTCAGAAAAGTGAACTTAATCTTTTAAACTTTGTGTTGTTTTAACCTTTCAATTATTTTTTTACTTGTTTTATAACCTGTAAGCTACCCGGAGTTACCTTGTAGGGGATATGGGCAGCATAATGGATGATGATAGATGGATAGATGGATAGATGGATAGATGGAT